CTCTGTGTGTGTGTGTGTGTGTGTGTGTGTGTGTGTGTGTGTGTGTGTGTGTGTGTGTGTGTTTCTGACAGTAGATTAACCTCTCATATTGTCTGGAGCTTCAGGGTGAGACGGACAGCCGGTCACAACAAACCCAAACCACCTCCTGAGAGGAAAGACTGATCTATTACACCTGACATGCATTAATAATGTATTTTTATATATATATATATATATATATATATATATACAAAAAACATTAAATAAATGAAATCTCTATGTTTACTGCACTAGGTCAGTAAGATTTTTTTATGTTTTAAAGAAGTCTCTTCTGCTCACCAAGGCTGCATTTATTTGATAAAAACTATAGTAAAAAATTATGAAATATTATTAGAATGTAAAACAGCTGTTTTCTATATGAATATCTGTTAAACTGTAATGTATTTCTGTGATGCGCAGCTGTATTTTCAGCATCATTACTCCAGTCTTCAGTGTCACATGATCTTCAGAAATCACTATAATATGCTGATCTGCTGCTCCAGAAACATTTCTGATTATTATCAATGTTGAACACAGTTGTGCTGCACAATATTTTTGTGGAAACTGTGATGCATTTTATTTTTCAGGATTCACAGATGAACAGAAAGTTCAGAAGAACAGCATTTATACAATATAACATTATAAATGTCTTTTATATACAGTATATCCAGAATGCTTCTCTGTATCTCAGTCTGTCCATATATCTGTCTGTCTCTCATTATCTAATCTTGTAATGGTCTCCTTTCCTGCATTTGTTCATGATCTATTTGTCTCTTGCTCTCTGTCTGTCCTTCACCCTTCACTCCTGTCATTCTCTTTCATTGGGGTGATAAAATCACTGCCTTGTTCTCTTTGTGCAAACAAGCCTCTCTGACACAGACAGAGAGACAGACAGACACAGACAGATGGACAGACAGACAGACACAGACAGATGGACAGACACAGACAGATGGACAGACAGACAGACACAGACAGATGGACAGACAGACAGACAGACACAGACAGATGGACAGACAGACAGACACAGACAGATGGACAGACAGACAGATGGACAGACACAGACAGATGGACAGACAGACAGACACAGACAGATGGACAGACAGATGGACAGACAGACAGACACAGACAGATGGACAGACAGACAGACACAGACAGATGGACAGACAGACAGACTGACAGACAGACACACACAGACAGACAGACAGACACAGACAGACAGACAGACAGAGAGCGTTTAGGTTTAATGAAGGAACGACGTATGTTTGCGTTTGACCATCTGACCTGAAAACATCAGCATCATTTAAGACTGAATGTGAGTTTCGTACGAGACATTGCACACATTTAAAACACGACCGCACACACACACACACTCAAAATACATGAAACACATCAGCCGTGATCTGATTCAGAGATTAAAATGAGAAACACACACTTATAATTATAATGTCTACACAAACACAGTAGATTACAATGAACAAACCTGTCACAGCATGTATTCATCTGTTCATTTGTACATATTAAAAGTATTTTTTACATGCATGCAGTTCAAACTAACAGTGTTTTTATCAGTTGACATTAAGCAAGATGAATAAATGCTGTATGATGGTTCTCTGTTAGTTTATGAAAACTAATGCATTACCTCATCTTACTTATACAAGCTTATTACAAAGTGAAGAGTCATTCACACACACACACACACACACTCACTCACTCACACACACACACACACACACACACACACACACACACACACACACAGACAGACAGACAGACAGACACACACACACACACACACACACACAGAGGGATCTTCAGTATCTGTCTCTCTCTCCCTCAGAGTCCATATAAGGGATTCTTTGGAGTTATTTCATGATTTGAAAGATTTACTTCATAAAGCGCATGAAGAACGGAAACCCAAAGTGTGTTTCCACACACACACACACACACAGACACACTCTGGGTTTCCGTTCCTCAAATGAGCCTGTATGTGTGTGTGTGTGTGAGTGTGAGTGTGAGTGAGTGTGTGTGTGTGTGTGTGTGTGTGTGTGTGTGTGTGTGTGTGGTGTGGGGGGGTGTGTGTGTGGGGGTGTGTGTGTGTGTGTGTGTGTGTGTGTGTGTGTGTGTGTGTGTGTGTGTGTGTGTGTGTGTGTGTGTGTGTGTGTGTGTGTGTGTGTGTGTGTGTGTTCTACAGGTTACATTGTCATTTAAGCTGATTGGCTGAATACCAACGCTGCCTAAACTGGTTTTCCCTCTTGTACACGCCTACAGACACACACACTCACAGGCTCATTTCAACACGTTGTGCGTGACATTGTGTTTGTCTACGTGTGTTTATGAGATAACATCGGAAAGTGTGCTGATATGAATCGAGCGCCGGTGAGGTCACACACACACACACACTTGATTTCCTCTGTCAATCATTCAATGGTTTTCTGACTATTATTCCTCAAGTCTTTCCTTCTAAAGAAAGAAAACAACCACTAATTCAAGCACAAATGTGTGAGACGTGTAGCGATACAAGACGAGATTAAGAGAAACAGATACTGGCGAAACAGAAGCAATCAGATAGATAAAGCTTTGATGATTGGTCTATAAACAACTATATTTAAAAATAAAAAAATGGAAAAAAAACTTTGATGATTTTAACCAATTTCAGGTTTCAAGTTTCACATTTTATGAGTCATTGAACCCCACATTATGATTGAAACTGTTATTTTTTCATTGATTAAATTAAAAAATATTAGATATTTTTTACCATAATTTAAGTAAAGAAGATTGAATGATGTCACCGTTGTCAGAAGATTCTAAAATAATTTTTATTTTATTTTATTTTTCAATTTTTTAACAGGCCTGAAGTTTATTTATTTATTTCTTAAGCCACGGAATAAAATAAATAAAAAAGGCAATTGCATTTTTTTTCTCACAAATCTGAG